TTCCCAGGGTGTAATACAAAAACCCTTCGAGAGGTGGGGACTTCAGCAGCTTTCATCTAAGCTGGCGCTGTGCGAGTCGTGGGCTTTACCGCAGGAGTGACCACTCTCCGCTCATCGCTAAACAGGAGCGCAAAAGTAAACGTCGGCAAACGCGCAGCCGCAACCAAAACCTCCACTCGATCTTTGTAGCGACAAGTGCTAGTCCCTATTGGTGAAAGGGTGTGTCGTAGTGTGATACTCCTTGAGTGGCGATCAAACAAAAACAAAAGAAACACAGTTCTCAGGGGCCCGTTTATTGAGGCGGCCATCTGAGCCATGGTCAAAACTCTCCATATGTGACTAATATGTTTTGTGGTTCCCACAACAAACTCTGACGGTGATTCAAACAATTCCTGGCAAGGGGGTGGAATGACCAGACCACGGCACAGACGGATGTGGCCGTAATGGGAGACTGCCGGATGTGTTTTTAATAGAATCTGCTTATCCTTACTGGAAGAACGTCACGTCTAATATTTGTGCGGACTTTCGAAGGACTCCCCAAACTTCCGGCCGCAGCCGAGCCCCTTGAAAACGGCACTAAAAACAATAAGATGTCAGGCCATGTCCCTTACATGGAAAACTTTGTTGTTCTGAACGCAAACGCCTCGAACTTGTGGTTTCCTCTTCAAAACCACCCAAAAAAACAGGGATCACTGGATTTCTCCTTCAAAAGCTGATAAAATGACCAGTGAGTTCCATTGAAACCAGCGCCACCTTTGGAGGTTCCAAGAATCTGTAAAATGGAGGACACCAAAAAAACAAAAAAAGAAACAGGCAACGCCTTCAAAACCGAAACGCTCCGCGCGCGCCTCAAAAAGCTCTGGTCCGAGCCCTGGCGAAAGCTGAGGGAAAAGCAAGCAGCAGTTCCATCGCTCGATTGTGGCGGGTGTTGGATTTGTTTCTTGGGGTACCCCGATTTTTTGGGGGTACCTCGTTTTTTTGGGGGTGGCTTGAAAGGGCACCAAAGGGAAAACCCACATTTTGGGAGGAGGTCCATTTTTCTTCACCAACAGCTGAAACCTACAAATTTGAGGCCCAGAAATCGGCGATGAGGGATAGTTTGGGGCAGTTGAGCCTGAAAAAGTCGCCAAAAAGGGTGAGGTGTTAAAAAAAACAAAGTGGGACACCTGGGGACCAAGAGCTGGCGAAACCACGAAGAGGCAAAGACTCACATGGCACGAGGGAAGATACTTCCCATTTCGACCTGGACCAAAGTGGAAAGGAGAAAGGCGCAAAGCTGCAAAGCACCTGCATAGGGTCGCGATTATTTCCCCAGATCCGCTTTTGGTTTCCCCTTTCTTCCCTTTCCAAAAGTGGTACCCTCCCTCCCATTCACGTAGCACCGAAAGTACCTGGAACAGAAATGCTCCTCTTGTAGGGATGCCCTGAGCGCCATCTCAGGAGTGAGGGTATCCGACACCGGGAGCGCGCCACGTATATTTCACCCGGTGGCCACGCAACACTTCTCCGGCACTAAAGACAGCCTTTCTCTGTGACAAGTCTAGCTGCCTGCTTGCGTGAACAACTAAACTGAAATTCGCACAATGCCAACTTTGATTTTTCTTTGCTGTGTTTTTTTCGAGGACCATACTTTTTTGTCAGGGACCCAGTTCCCTTGTAAGGAAAGGATCAAATCTCAGAGGGTTCCTCTGATGGGGGTCCTCTGCATTCTCAGCCCTCCCTTTCACGAAGGTCCGGGCGCCAGCGCGCAAGTGACCGGCGCCCTAAGGCTTCCGCATTTTTTGTTTTATCTATATATATATATATGTATATATTTGTACCCTGACTCGTGGCTCTAAGTCAGGTCGACGTTTGGAGGAAACCAGGGAGAAGATCGGCCCAAAGAGCTGAAAGCTATTGGTCGAGAGGCCCAGAGAGCGGCGAGGGGCTTCCAGGGAATCGATTGACTTCCCGCCCAACCAAAAAAAAAACGCTCAGGCCTCTTCCTCGGCAGGCCTCCGGCGAAACGGGTTCCGTTGTCGCTTTTTCGTTGGCAGGCCCACCCCGGGCGGGGTCTAAAGCAACGGTGGCTGCTGCGGAAAAAAAAGGCAGCGTGCCTGAGAAATGGAATGACCTCGAACTCAACCGTTTCCTTTGGGACCCCTGGGTTGATTGCCTCATCTTGGTTGACGTTGGAAGGGGAGCAAAAACTTAAATTTTAGCAGTTAAGTGGGGATTTCCCACTAAACTACAATAGCAAAAATGTAAAATGTTTCCCAACAACAACCATGTCATTCCCTTCCTATCGCACCAGCAAGAACAGGGGCTACTCCAACAAATCGATCTGATTCTGGATCGCCAGTTGCGATCATTGTGTCCCAGCAACCGTGACTGTTTTGTTGCCGGCAGCCGTGACTGATTTTTAGGTCAAGTCTGGAAGAAAGCCATCGCAACTTGGCTATATAGGTGATTCTGCTTCGCTTTTGGTCTACCCTAAAATAGGCAAGATGTACAGTACGGCACACTCAACCAGGAAACGGGTGGAAATGAAACAATAATTGGACCTCCATGCGTGTTGCTCACGAGCTACGAAGCAGCTTACCCGTCCCTTCAACAAGCACGTCCGATGGCCGTTATTTGGATAGCGTGCTTAGGCGAATGAAAAGGCCACGCATGCCAAACATCTCAATGATGATTGAGAACTTGGTCAATGCACAAGCCTAAACCTAGCGTTTGAGAAACATTTTCCGTTGGTAAGGTCTAAAGGTTGGTCCCTCAGTCTGTTCACCCGTCTTTCAAGGCACCAGGATGGACGAAAAATCCATCGGTCCGCACCGTTCAGAAAGCCTGGCATGAGTCGCTTCCACTACGTAAGTACCAACAAACGACCATGGCTCCAATTAATGGTGCGAACAGCGGATTCGCAACCATGCACAGTAGAAATTCACCCAACGTGGGTGGTGTCCTTTGCCTCACAATCCTTGATATGGTTGCAAAAACCCGAGCCGCTAAAGTCGAACGGAACCGGCGGGCTGGGGCACTGAACAACTTGCCAAGAACGGTGGAAGTTTGGGTTTCCTCTCAAAACCCCTCTCTCTCTCTCGCATCAGAGGTAAGCTCCTCGTAGCACCTTGGCAAAACCAAACAACATGTGTTTTTTAATACATATATATATATATATATTATTATGTTTTGTATTTGGCTTCTTTTATTTTTAAAAAAGAAATAAGCAACTCTGAAAACCAGACAAAACCAAAGCGCCCAGCAGCTGCCTGGCGGCCGCCTTCTCTGCGAGCTTGCGATCCTCGTGCCGGTCTCCGCGATTTTATACAAATATATATATATATATATATTTATTTTTCGGAGATCCGTGGGGTGGATTTGGAGGGAAAACCGAAGGAAGCCAACCCCAAAAAGGGTTGGGTTTTGTGTGGAAACAAAAACAAACAGAAATGGAAAAGAAGAGGAGCAAGAGGCCTTTTTGGTTGGGGCTGGCCGAAATTCCCCCGGAAGGTTGATGTCCTATGGGTGTCCCTTTCAACCTCCCTCATCGTGACAAGATTCAATCCCAGTTCCAGGAAAGCTCGTTTGGTCCATGGGAATTCAGCGGTGGGTGCAAACTGCGCCCAACGAAGCACGCGATCTTTCTGCATCAAAACTCGGGTCAACCACTCAATCACCTTACAAGTTTTACATCTTTGTTCACGCGGCGCGAGGTACCGCGCATTTGGAGTGCTGGCCTCCGCTGCGAAGAAGAAGCACACATCAGGTCGAAGAGCCGCGTGAGCACGACCATCACAGCAGCAGCGCAAGGAGTTTTCCCACAGACAAAGACGCCCTGAACAGCAAGAGAGCTGCGCCCAGGACCGCCTTCTGCAAGCTGAAGTTCCCCACGAGTTGATTAAGCCAATCCCCAAGCTTCAAGAGAATATGGTCAAAAACAGCTGCGAAGGGTGAGCCCGTTATTTCCCTCACCCCGCTTCGGCCTCATGTGCGTGTGTCCTTCTAGAGGCTACCCATTTTTTGGTAGCTTTAAAGGGAAACCAAAAGGAAAAACCAACTCCGTTCATGTCCTGGCGCGTCCAACCCCCTGCAAAAAGCGTTGACTTTGGAAACCGCCCTCCGCGCAGGTTTTGTTGGTTGCCTTCTTGCATCCACCTCTTTACTTCCATTTGCTTAAACCCCCGGGAAAAGACAAAAACTAATATTTCCAGTAGTGATAGATTCCCTTTAAAACCAACAAGGGAAAATAAAATAAATATCATTAAGCAAATGGAAGTGTATCGCAAGCGATCGGAACCCGTTGATTAGAACCCTTTCAGGGTGGAAAAGGACCATTCACCTCCCGGAAGCACTCCAAGACATATGACAACTTATTCGTTGACACACTTCCATATTCAAAAGAGAGGCACCCAACAACTTGTATGTGCTTCCTTTTTGGCTTCCCAATTAACCCAGGACAGGTGTCCTCATGTGTCCTCAAAAAGCCACACACTTCCATTTGACAAGTGGGGGACCCGTTGGTTGTACAACCCCAAATCTGGTTCACCTCCACCTTTCCTTTGGTTCACGGGCCAAACAAGCTGAGGGCCAACAAACCGGGCCCCCAGTCCACTCCCTTGAGGTGCCATACAAAACACGCCTGTAAAAATGATATGTTTCAGGTTCAGGTTCGATTTCAGCTACTGTCTACCCTGAATCTCATATTCTAAAAGGGCAAAACTCTGGCGAAAGTTTGACGTCCCAAACCGGTGGCCCCTCCTTGGGGTAAACCCTCTGTGGAACCCAAAGAATGTCGGGTTCCCTGACTTCCTTCTCAACCAAAAGGTCCGAAATCGATTTGATATTCAAAGCAGCGCCCACCAATTGTCATTTGGTTCCAAGGGTATGGGTGGCTCGTCTTTTTTTTCGGGGAGCCCCAAAATGGCGCCACGGTGTCAACCTCGTGCAAGAAGAGTACCCTCAAAAAACAACTCATCCCGGCTTACATTTGGGGCTGGCCATGTTGAAAACCCCTCCTCTCACTTCCTGAGTGGCTTGGCAGGAATCAAAATTCAAAACTTGTTCGTTGCCACTAGACTGGTCTGCCCGTCCCAGACCCTCAGGAAGTCAGCCTCCTTTTCTGGGCTGCCCGTTTTCAGATCCCCCGCCAAAAGTGACGCACTTTCAGTGGTTTAAATTGGGAAACAACCACCAAACGCTAAAAGGCTCAAAAGCTAAGGATCTGGGAGCCACCAAGTTATTCTTTGGAGGGCTGTCTTGACATGTCTTGACCGGAGGGCCCCACCCAAAATAAAAACCGCCGAACAACTCCACCTCCAACAGCCACTGCGCCACTTCCGGTCCTGGAGCCACTTCCGCAGGTGGCACCCGTCGTCCGGCAGGAACCGGCTGCGCCGCTCCGCCTGCAAAAGCGCCGCTCAAAGCGGGGCTCGCCTTCTCTTGGGCACCCGGCCAGTGGGTCTGGGGTCATTATTTTTCTAGGGGCACCTTCCATTTCCATTCTTTCCAGGGATCCGGATCTTTCTAGAAAGCCTCCGCAAATCCAGCGAATAAAGGGTTGGTTATTGAAAAGAACCATGGCTGAAAAGAATCTGGAATCAGCCCCCAGGATTTTGACCGTTGGGGTTAAAGTCAGAAGTTGGGGTGGCTGCTTTTACCCTACCACTTGGCGGGTGACTTTGACAATGGTAAAATAATGGGGCCAGTGTGCGGCTCGGCTTTTTTTTGAGGAATCGGACGCCAAAAATGGTGGATTTCCCTTGATGTCTGTTTAAAACTACCCAAAACGGGGTACTCTCGAAAAAGACGCAAACACCCATGTGTCAGGGTGTGAAGTTCTTTTTGCCCATCCTGTTGGTGCGGACGCCTCTAATTTAATTGGTTCGCGATAGGTGGCTTGGAGGCTAGGAAGTGGCTTCCCATCCATCAGGGGTTTAAATCCACCAATCCCAACCACCAATCTGCCATCAGCTCAGGGTTGCCTGACGCCTTCCATTTGGGCTAGACTGGGGGAACCCCAAAATTCTTGGTTGACGTTGAAGGGGAGCAAACATTTAACTTTTAGCAGTTAAGTGGTTGGATTTCCTAAACCCTAAACCACCATAAGCAAAAATGTAACAAAATGCTTCCCAACAACAACCATGAAATGGCGGCTTTGCTGAATCAACAAAAAGGTAACCTAAAAGGAGCAACACAGGTCACCTAACCTAAAAGGTAACCTAACTTGACAACCATGATAGATGGTTTCGGTGAAATGGTCCTGGCACCTTCCACTTGGGCCATTTGGGCTAGACTGGGGGACCCCCAAAATGGCGGCTTTTCTTTTCGGTGGATCCTCTGAAACCAAAAGGCAAACCCAACTTTCTCCCGGAGCAAGTGTCCGCGGCCCGGCCTCCATCGGGGAATGCCGCTCCGGCAGAGCCTGGCTCCGACGGTCTCAGCTTGGGGAAATGGGCATGTGAAAATCAAGGATCCGGATGCATTCCATTAGTGATAGATTCCCCTTAAAACCAGCAGGGGAAAATAAAAGATGTTCTTAAGCAAAAAATGGAAGGTCGGCAGGATACGAACTGGTCGACTGATCTATGCCAGTACTGACGTGCATCTCAAGCTAGGGCCAATTCGACAACGGAAGCTGGAGGTTCAACTAACCGGGGTCACTGATCAACTGGTCATCTGGCCATCTGGTCATTTTCCCACGGTCCATGGTCCATGCCGTCCAGGAATCCCAAGGGCGAACTCTATGGACCTGGGGTTCTCGTACACCCTGAAATACCCCCGAACTTTGATTTCCCTTGAAACCGACCTTCAAAAGGGTCCCTCAAAAAAACACACACCCGAATGGCGTCGCCAGGAGTTTGCGCTGCTCATTGGTTGGTGCAAAGGCGGTGCCCATCTACCAAAACTAGCCACAGACTCTCAGAATAATTCTGCCTCGTTGACTACTTGCCAGCACCGGCTCTTTGGGGAAAATGGGCCGTTGGAAAATTCACCCCGGGCAAATTCACCTCAAGAGGTTGAAGATAGAAATTCACCCACTGGTGGTTGAGTGCACAGGGAAGTTCACCGCGATGCAAAGAGGGTAGAATCGACTCGACAAGTGCGGGGTCGGCAGAAACCCGTCGGTCGACTGTGCCTTGCTTGCAACCAGCAGCTTGCTCATGGGAACAAAACTCTCTCCCCCACTATGCGAGTATATAAACATATACAAACAGATGTGCAAATATATATATATATATACTATATACTATGATGGGTATGTACATTTATACATATGAATGCATACTTATAGGCTTTCGTGTCGTTTGTACAGCGAAACCCACCCAACGCATTTGCGGAGAAGCTGACGCCCACTGGCGTCACTGGACTGGACAATCCACTCACATGGTTCTGCCTTTCAAGGATAACGGCAGCTTCTGCCACCCAGACACTATATGGCTGGCGCGTCTTTCGTTGAGGCGGCCCCCCCTTGAATAAGATATTTGGGTATGGCTCAAAAAACTGGTACCAAAATGGAACAGTGGTAAGTGGAAACATAGACCAAAACCTGCGCTGTGTCTTAACCAGGGCTCCTTGAAGGATGGACCGAAGGATGCATCCAAAAGCCACCTGTTGCACAAGATCCTCTAAATCAGCCGGTTAGAGAACTGGCCCCCGGTATCCTAAAAGCCCTAGGAACCTGAAGCAACCATTTACACATGGGGGGTTCCCAAACTGCCATCTAAGAAGGCCTATTCATCGAAAACGGCTTAGGAAACCACTGGTATATGGTTGTTGCAGGTTCCAGGATATTCAGTCATAATCATTAAGAGAATCTGTCATTACTTGCCCCGCTCACTTCCGATCGAGTGGATGGGGCACAAAGAGTCCACCCACACTTTTTTTCGACACAAACATTCTGGCCCGACCAGTTAAAAGTCAATCTCGAGAGTGAGTTGTACTGATGGACAAAATCCGCGTCAGGCAGGTGGCTTATTCCAATACTAAGGTTGTATCCTCCTAACTGGTGCGGTTTGCGGAGTTTGTACATTGATTTTGCTACCAAGAGTAGGTTCTGTGATGGGCTACTACCCCATCGCTTTTGTAGATGAACGACATCCGCTCGCACCAGCTGATGCGTGGTTTATCAACCAATACCAGGGTTTTATCCATCCAACTGGTGCGGTTTGTGGAGTTTGTCCATCCACAGCTAGGCTTGGATCTGCTAAAAGTTGAACTTGTGGGTTAAACTCGGAAACCCAGCCACTAAACCAACTAAAAGGATCCAGAAACCTGAGATGGCTGGGAACCACCCAGCCTGGGCTGCTCCAACTGATCCGCGAACCTACGAAGACTCTGGGTGGTGTGGAAACTTCCGAACCAACTACAAGACAACTAACAAGCTAAGGAACCGGAAGCCGCCAATCTAGGGGATACCTTCCATGTCCATTCTTTCCAGGGATCCGGATCTTTCTAGAAAACCTCCGGAAACCCAGGGAAAAAAGCGATCGGTTTTGGAAAAGAACCAGGGTTGAAAAGAATGGGGAATCAGCCCTCAGGATTTTGACCGTTGGGGTTAAAGTCAGTAATTGGGGTGGTTTCCTTTACCCAACCACTTAGGGGGTGATTTTGACAATGGAAAATGAATGGGCCAGTTGGATGGCTCGGCATTTTCTTCCCACGCTTCGCCGTCGCCGCCTGGGCCGGCGCAACCGCCGCGGCAACGACCTGCTGCTGGCAGGGCGTCGGGGAAAACCGACGCCGGCAGAACCCAAACGAAGGAGAGGGGCTTCTATATCTTCAACCGGTCTTAGAGTTCTCTTAGATTAAAAAAGAAAGCTGGAATTGACTCTGGGAAAATAAACAAAAAACCCTGTGATTGACCCTGGCGCTTCTAACGGAGTCTTTTCAGCACCCCCCAAGTAAAAATGAATAGAACCAACAAAAAATAAAATAAAATAAATATTAAAAAAAAATGATCCAAGCACGGTGCGGGAACGTATGCATGGGTGTGACTTAAAATAGGAACACCCAAAAAGTATGCGAACATGTACGCGCCCACAGCTTTCTTTTTTGGCTGTGGCCAAACATGGTTTAGTTTTGATGTCCCTTGAAACCAATTTTCAAAAGTGTCGCTCAAAAAAGCATACCAGATATGTGTTTTGTGTACATGTACACATGTGCAGGCATAGCTATTGACTTTCGTTCATCTCTAAACCGAAACCCACCCAACGCTGCACTGCTCATTGGATGTTGCGGACGGTTGGCGCAAACAAATCTTGTCAGTTGACTACTTGCCAGCACCGGGAAAAGGGCTGTTGGGAAACTCCCCCAAAATCTCTTCAGGGAACTCCCTCAAAGAGCTAAAGGAGACTCACCCGTTCTAAGCCGCTGTTGGGTGAGTTTACCAAAAACTCACACCAACGCAAAGAGGATGAAACCGACTCGATAAGTACGGGATCGGCAGAAACCAGTTGTCAAGAGACCTTGTCAAATGGAAGCCCCTGCTATAAGGGCCGAAAAAACCAGGCATTGTAGGGGCGTTTAAACACATATGATTCCATGATCATAAACAAATTGAGGTGTACTTGTTTTCCCCCCTTCTCTCACTTCCGCTCGAGTAAAGCCGCAAAAATCAATCAAGTTTGACCCAAGAAGCTTAAAGTCGACAAAGATCGGCGCCGATCAGCTGATGGGTGTATCAGCCACTAGGGCTTTACCCATGCAACTGCTGCGGCTGTGGATTTTGTCCCAGTGATGTCCCAGCCAAACTTGTGAAAGAGGGGGGTCCAACGAAAAAGTCAAAAAAAAAAAAGGCCGCCGCTTGGCCCGGCAGCTGCGGTGGCCGATCCTCACGATCTTGCTGCCGCTGGACGCTCGCAGCCGCCGCCGCCGCCGGGCACGGGCACAGCTCCAAGTCCGCGCTCAATGGACCAATCGCGCAGCCAGTTGCACTTCGCTTGTTGCACCAGATTGTAGAAATTCGGCCGGCTTGCTTGCAACGGGCTGGGCCGGAGTAACGAGCCGCAAGGTGGCCACAACCTTCCTGCCAGGTCAAGGTGTACTTTTCAGGCCCGCTGCGATGCCAGCGTGGTCCGCATGCGGACTCCTCGTAGAGCAGAACGGGCACGCCGTTGCTTGGGCAAGCAAAGAGTAATTTGCTCACAGCTTTGGCCAAAAAGGTAGAAAGACCACTCCTCTTGGAAAGTCTGTGCAGGTCCATGTTGGGAGGGTAAGGTCCAAAGATCCGTTACCAAATGGGTATGGGTCAAAATTTGAACCACCAGGGGACCGCTGGTTTTGATCGTTTCCACTTACCAGGGCAAGCCATTTGGGGTACCGGTTTTTTGAGCCACAGCCAAATGGAACCCTGGTAAATGGCAACATGGACTCAAATCTGGGGTAAGTTAGTTTTGAGCCACAGAATAGCCATACAGCGCAGTGCACACCTCAGCTCGCGCTTCAGTGCAAATAACGGCGCCACAAACGGCGCCTCAGGCTGCGACAGGGCAGCGACTGGCACAGCCCGCACCGGACAGGGGCCCTCAGTCCTCAAAACTCGCAGGAAAGTTTGTTTTTTTTGAAGGGGGCCCAAAAATGTGGCTGGTTTATAGCGTTAATAGGAGGGTGTCCCTGGATGTCGTGGGGAATCAGACCACTTTTGGAGGGGAAAACCCCCCTATGTGGGAACAAAGATATGGCTAGTTTCAGGTTTTCAGATGCCTTCTCTTCAAACAACCTCCAAGATACTGACGAGGATGCTGCAATGTTTGCTGAGTCAGTCCGAGTGACTTCGGTTGTGGAGCCCCCTAAAATCGCTGCTGGCAAAGATGCGAACTGAAAAGCGTGCAGAAAAACCTAAACAATGGTCCCCGGAAAGAGACACGCCCACGCCAAAATGAGATTCGGACCCCCCAAACATGAAAATGGTGGTTGTCCGTTTGGCTTCCCCAACCAGCCTGCCTGCAAAAGGCACTCTTGAAAAATTAGGCACACCCATTTATGGGTAAGTTCTTCTTTTGGAGAGCCCCCACAGGCAGAAAATGTGCTTCTTCGAATGGTTTCTCTTCAAAACCACCCAAGGCATACTCTCAACTGAAAGACACGCCCATATTGTCCCTTGAACTCGTGGTGCCGATGGTGTACTGATCTGGAAAATGACCATGCTCCTCACATGTCGACATAGGCCAAATGGATGCCAGGTCTCAAACTCACTGGGTAAAATCGATGGGTTTCCCTGGATTGATTCAACCCAGCTGCTTGGTGGTTGTTTCCCCCCTGCAAAATGATAAGTTGTCGTGGGTCCAACAGAAAAATCCAACAAAAAAAATGTAGAAAGACCACTTTCCTCTTGGAAAGTCTGTGCAGGTCCATGTTAGTTGCAGGGTAAGGTCCAAAGATCCGTTACCAAATGGGTCAAAGTTGAACCACCAGGGGACCGTAGGGTTTGGTCCATGTACCAGGGTTCCATTTTGGGTAAGTTACTTTTGACCCACAGAATAGCCATACAGCGCAGTCTTGCACACCTCAGCTCGCGCTTCAGCGCAAATCACAAACGGCGCAACGGCGCCTCAGGCTGCGACAGGGCCGCGACTGGCACAGCCTGCACCGGACAGGGGCCCTCAGTCCTCAAAACTCGCAGGAAAGTAGGTTGTTTTTCTGAAGGGGGCCCAAGAATGTGGCTGGTTTATAGCGTTAATAGGAGGGTGTCCCTGGATGTCGTGGGGAATCAGACCACTTTTGGAGGGGAAACCCCCTATGAATGAACCGGGTTTGAGTAAAATGGGGTCAACGTTGTGTGTCTTTTTTGAAGTGGGAACAAAGATATGGTTTCAGGTTTCCAGATGCCTTCTCTTCAAACAACCTCCAAGATACTGACGAGGATGCTGCAATGTTTGCTGAGTCAGTCCGAGTGACTTCGGTTGTGGAGCCCCCTAAAATCGCTGCTGGCAAAGATGCGAACTGAAAAGCGTGCAGCAAAACCTGAAAAATGGTCCAACGGGAAAACCGTTGCTCGCTATTTTGGGGGGGCCCATCTATGGGTTCGGCAGGCCATTTGTAATGTTGACCCAAGATGATTCAACCTGCTCGGGATGTTCTCCTGCAAAGTGATGAATCCCCGCGAAATGGGGACACCCCTATAAGTAGTCAGCCAGGGTTCTACATAGCTCCAGGGTTCCCATTGTTCGGAAGAGCGCCAACTGCATTTGTTTGTCCTTCTTAGCATAGGTGACCTTTTCTGGAAAACATAGATGGCCCCGGCAAATGGGAATAAAATAATCTAAACCAATCTATTTCTTGCCAAGTTATCCGATCAAAAGGAATCCGAGGCATCCCTTACGGCTCGGTGTCCCTTTTTGTTGGGTTTGGATAGAAATCGGCTTTGACATGGCTATGTGGTTGGATCTTTGGACTCTAACTTTTTGGGAAGCGGATTTTCCATTGGACCCACGACAACTTCTCATTCTTGCAGGGGGGAAACAACCACCAAGCAGCTGGGTTTGAATCAATCCAGGGAAACCCATCGATTTTACCCAGTGAGTTTGAGACCTGGCATCCATTTGGCCTATGTCGACATGTGAGGAGCATGGCCATTTTCCAGATCAGTACACCATCGGCACCACGAGTTCAAGGGACAATATGGGCGTGTCTTTCAGTTGAGAGTATGCCTTGGGTGGTTTTGAAGAGAGACCAATCGAAAAAGCGCATTTTCTGCCTTTGGGGGGTCTCCAAAAGAAGAACTTACCCATATATGGGTGTGCCTATTTGTTCAAGAGTGCCTCTTGCAGGCAGGCTGGTTGGGGAAGCCAAACGGACATCCACCATTTTCATGTTTTGGGGGGTCCGAATCTCATTTTGGCGTGGGCGTGTCTCTTTCCGGGGAAGATGGTGCAAACTCAACAAACGACGAGCCACCCACATGTCCGACGCCTCGACCTTCGGACAATGCAACTGGGTCGTCGGAGCCTGCGCTGAAACTGGATGGATGCTTCTCAATTTTCGGCATACTGTGGAGGGAGAAAATCCGCTTCGCACCAGATGATAGGTGGTTTATCAACGACTATGGTGAAGTGGATTTTGTCCATCCACAGTAGGGAGCCCTGAAAATGATCGGCTGTCTTTTGATGTCCCTGCCAAATTTTGCGAGAAGGGGGGCCTTCTAAACAGGCTCCAATCACTCTCTCACGATGCTCTTGGGCACTGACAGTGAGGTCCAAAAAGGGTCCTTGGATTGAACATCAACTGCTTCCACGCACTGATCAATCAATCCCTCCGGTGAAGTTTGGCCTTCCCATTCGCATCATTCGGGGGTCGCAATCTTTTCCAAGGCAGCACCCTGTGATTTCGCTTCTGCTCCGAATTAAACTGGAAATCACATGCATGATGTCATGAGTTAGAACCAGAGCTGTTCTCCAGTCAACAGGAATGTTCGGCTCTCGCAAAATCTCGCAAAGGACTGCATTAGCGCGCACCAATCAAAACTGGGCTGTTCACGGATCCCCTGCGAACAGCTTAGCTTATAGTGGTTAAATGGAGACCCCCACTAGAAACCTAACAAGCTGCGCCCAGAAAAGTGGCCATGTCGGGGCAGAACGTTCGGCACTATTCGCCAGCCTATTAGCCGCGGCCTGGAAACTAACCGAAAAAGCACAAGTGCAAGACCTCTGCCTGCCTCACTTGCCCAAAGGACCCGCAAATAATAGGTTCACCTTTTGGGACGCCTTGACTGGACAAAAAACGTGCTTTGTTGTTCAGGTCCGGCTTCTCACACCTATACTTCGTGGTTGGCTCTCGAGGCCTTTAACAGAACAAACATGGTAAAAAGAACGAAAACACCCGTTGCACCAGTTTCGCGGGCGTCAACGAGTGTGAACAGAAAGGCGCGAGCCGACGCCCAAATTCCAAAGCCCAGCATCCGCGGCCAGAGACACGCCTCGGCAACCTTCGGGGAATGCCGCTCCACAATTGCCGCCGGAGCCTTCACAGATGTGCAAAGGAATAAGGGGGCGTGTCTTCGAAACAATGTTTGTGGAAGAAACAAAACACTTCCTGTGGCAATCCCCATGACAACAAACAATCCCCTTGCAAAGGGGGGTCCCTTGCTATCACAGAAATTGGCAACCTAAGCCAGGCTTTCCGCACCATCCTCTGGCCCTAAATGGCCTCCCAAGTCAGAGCCTAGTTGGGGAATCCAAGAAGGATTTTGACTTTTCAAAGCAAACTATTTGGGGGTTCCAACCAAAACGGGGTCTATGTGAGAAACCCTTTGCTGACCATCATATACCTGGGGATTCATGTCCACCGTCCCTTCCGGACAACGGCGTCCGCTAATTCAAAACTGGTCCTGCGGGGACTCTTCTCAGCTAACCCTGACTTGGTGGTTTGGCACTTGGTGATTTAAACGTTGGGTGTACCTTCCCCATTTGCTTCCAAAAGCAAAAGCACGGAAAACAACCCGCTTTTCACAAGGCCTTCAGATCAATACATTCCAATCAAACATCTTGGTTGCAGTTGACCGCTCTTCAACAAGGTTTCCCTAACCAAAAGGGGATGTTGAGAAACCCTGACAAATCAGGAACGCTCTAGGGAACACATCCTTTCTAAAAAGAAAGTCTTAAGAAAGCCCCCGGGCACCCGTCATACGACAAACATTTATATATATATATATGCTATATATATGCTAGAGTAGAGAATAGAAATTTAGGGTTTCGCATGAGGATTTGGCCATAGGTCAAAATCCCGTACCCCCAGTGAACATCCGATTCAATCCCCACTAAAATAGGTTCTAAAATGGGTGGAGAATTCACCTACCCCAACATGGTACCAAAACGGTTTTGACAACCACAGCCATTTATGTCCACCAGCCCCAACCCCGAACACGGAACCGAAAACGGAACCCCGACGCATCCTTCGGCGCGATGTGGCGCCATCGGGTCCGTGGAGTAGCTTGCCAATCCCCCCCCCCCCACAGCCCCCCCCGCCGCCCGTGGTGCGCTGAATGAACGAAAAGGCCAACAGCACCTCTGCCTTGGTGGTTTGTTTGTTTGTTTGTTTGGGGGTGTTAGTTTAGTTGTTTGCGTATTTGCTTGCTTTGGATTTGTTTTTTCTTTGTTTGTTTGTTTGGGTTTGTTGGTTCATTTGTCTGTTTATTTGTTAGCTTCTTTATTTGTTTGTTTGCTTGTTTGTTTGATTGACAGTTTGCTTGCTTACTTGTTTGTGTGCTTGCTTGTCTATTTGTCTCCGACTATGCGACTGCGTCTGTCTCGGACTGTCTATCCGTCCATCCATCCGTTCGTTTTCCAGCAGATGCTTCAGCTGACAAGAGCCCTCAATCAAAAACATCCACGTCAAGATTGAATGGAATCTACCTCACAAGTAGCTGGTGGCACAAACCCCACCCAAATCATGTCCACCAAAGGGCCTAGAATTAAACATCATCCCCATATCAGCCCACACCCCGCTTCCTCCAAAGACGAGTGCCACGAACACGCGGCCCACGTTAAGACGCCTCCGCAACCTTCGGGGAATGTCGCTCCACAATTGCCGCTGGAGCCTGCGCAAATGGCAGATGGGCCCATCTTTCAAATACAAGCCCCGTAGTGGCCATGGCGAAAAATGGCCACCGCTTTTGTTGGTAGAGGCACAAAAGACAATTGGATTGACCGTTTTTTGGGGTGGGTTATAGCGGGGAGCCAAAGGGTTGTTCCAAGCTAAAAGAGAGTAGCTCCATTCTGGGAGAGTGATTTTCATACTGATGACGGTGATGACCATGAAGTACAAAAAAAGAAAGAAAAGAAAACAGATAAAAAGGAAAACAGAAGAACAGAAAACATAGTAAATGCTTATTTCCATGAACATAGACTCGACATTGTCAGGCACCAAACCTCGCCAATTCTTTTATCTTTAGCTTGAGAGGCTGGTTTTTGGCCTTCCGGCGAGGAGCTCAGGTCAAAAACATGCCGGTCAGGTGCCCACGATGTTGTTCTCATGTACCCACTAAAAGAGTATTTCCCAAAAAACACATCTATATATATATGCATGCATGTCTGTCTGTCTGTCTCTGTCTGTCTATCTGTCTGTCTGTCTGTTTGTCTGTCTGTCTGTCTGTTTGTCTGTCTGTCTCTGTGTCTCTGTCTGTCTCTGTCTGTCTGTCTGTCTGTCTGTCTGTCTGTCTGTCTGTCTGTCTGTCTGTCTGTCTGTCTGTCTGTCTGTCTGTCTGTCTGTCTGTCTGTCTGTCTGTCTGTCTGTCTGTCTGTCTGTCTGTCTGTCTGTCTGTCTGTCTGTCTGTCTGTCTGTCTGTCTGTCTGTCTGTCTGTCTGTCTGTCTGTCTGTCTGTCTGTCTGTCTGTCTGTCTGTCTGTCTGTGTCTCTGTCTCTGTCTCTGTCTCTGTCTCTGTCTCTGTCTCTGTCTCTGTCTCTGTCTCTGTCTCCGTCTGTCTGTCTGCATGTGTGTGCGTGTCTGTATGTATGTATGTATGTATGTATGTATGTATGTATGTATGTATGTATGTATGTATGTATGTATGTATGCATGCATGCATGCATGCATCTATGTATGTGTGTACGTGTGTATGCATGTATGTATACTCGGAGTAGGCGGCAGACTTTGGGGGTGGGGGTTGTGCATGGGTCCTCTCGAGACGACAGGGGCCTGTCTGGATTTTCCGACACTGGCTCTGAGGGCCCGTTTCGCTGTCAGAGAAGATAATGGCCCAAAGGAGGATCCCTACATTGATTTGGGTGTGACATTCTTTGCGGGTACCCCGTTCTTGTGGTTCTTGTGGCTGCCTTTGAAACATGTCGCGCCCGTGTTCAAAGCACGTGATCCACATAACCGGCAAGCTTACGGAGTTTATTGTTTGGACAAAACTCTCACGAGCTCACCGCCGGGGGGGGTTGACGCGCTCACACCGGCAAATTCACGAGGGTATGGGGACCTTCATGAGGGCTCCTTTGTCGGGATTCCCGACATTTGGCTGTTGTTGATGTTGCGGGGCCACCTCACAAGTTGGACATGAATCCCAAGTCAGAGCCCAGTTGGGGGTTCCAACCAAAACCGGGGGCTATGTGAGAAACCCTCTAGTGACCAATATTTAGGAATCCCCAGCTGAATTATGTGACCAAAGCGACCCCAATAGTTCTGTCCCATTTCAGGCCGGCGACTCACCCTGAGTCACACAATCCTTGCGGCCTTGACCCACCGACATGCGCGCTTGCCAACCTGCAAGACCTCTCCTAAACCCCCGTTGGCTGCTTGAGTGCGTGGTACTGCCTGGGTGAGAAAGGATTATAGTAGCTCACTCCCTGAGGACGTGTTTGTTTCTGTGAGGGCACTTTCGTTTTGGGGTACGTGTTTGTTTCTGCTAGAGAGAAACCAAAAGGAAAGCCACCCTCTTTTTTTTGGGGGGGGAAAAGGGTCCAATTTTGACGCATCGGTGTTACCAGGATATATGGCTGTAGGTCAAAACCCCGTGCTGGTTAACAATCAACATAGGTGACAAATGGATTTTCATCCACCCCAAAGTGGGGCAGGTTATGCCCCATGGCCATATCTTCAGCATGCAACACTGGAGGATCGGTCCAAAAGGGGCCGAGGTGGCGGGATCGATTTCGCCCGCCTCCGCCACCTTTGGGCGGTCATCTTGCACCTCACAAGGGCCCTAACGGCTGCCCGGGTTGGCGCTTTCGTAAGGTGAGTCAAAATCAAAACCCGGTACTAAAATGGTCTACCCAGAACCATGTAAAGAATTAAGAAGGCGGCCGCAGCTGTTTATGGCTGTGCGCATCCCTTACTAACCTTCATCTACCCAGGTTTTGATTGTGGCTCAGGTGAAAAAGGATACCAGAAGCTAAAGCAGTGGCCAGTGGATTTCCATGGGAAGAAAAGGAACTGCATCCAGTTTTGGTTGGCTGACTTAAAAGGAATTGGAACCTTCCCCAAAAAAGAGGGAAAAAAGGGCACCACTGGGCAACTGGGCAAAGGACACTCACTTTGAGCTCGCCATGACACCGCAAGGGAAATATCAGGAACCCTGCCAAGCAAAATCACCCCGACCCCCTTTGCCGAAAAGGGAACCCGGCAAGCACTTCGGCTCAAGCGGAAGTGCCCCTTCTTCTTACCCCTGGGTGGTGGCTAACCTACCCCTCTCAGATGCGTATGAGCATCAAGCCTTTTGAGGGTCACTTACAGGGGGTATGCAACAGGGCATGTACAAACCCAACACTGAGTCAAGAGTTCAAACATTGGGGATGAGAGGTGCCTCGAAACTTCTCAAAATTCCTGCCTTGGCCACCCATTTGGCTTTCATATACCAAAGAGCCTTGGTTCCCATATACCAAAAAAGAGCACCCCCCCCAGAACAAAAAAAGCACGAAGAAACAAACCCAAACAGCTACTTTGAGCTTATCGATTATTTGGGAGTACATCAAGACAGGGCCTTGTTGTCAACACACAAGCTTCCCATGACTCGCCAAACAAGCTACGTCCTATGGGCGTCTCGCAAAGAATCGGAACGGGACCCCCCCAAAAAGGGCGCAACGGCCGGCTTTTCTGTTGGTTTCCAGAACCACCCCACAAGGGCACCCTGTAACAAAAAGACGACACAGTCGCATATAAAATGGGACACCACGTCTTCCAAAATCAAAGATCCTGCAAAGAAACCAAGGGCATGAGAAATCCCCCTCGTGGCAAAATCCTTTGAGCAAATCTGCGCGGCGCGAAAGTTAGAGGGTCCTCCTTTGAATGGCCCCACAAAATGCAAGCGCTTGTATCTAGAGAACGGTTTGGAGGTGGCTGTTGTGGAACCAGCCCTCTAGGATATCAGAAGAGTACTCAAAGACTACGAGAAAAAAAAAAAAAAAAAAAAAAAAAAAAAAAACTACTGGGGGGAACAACCGGTGATTTCCAGCGCATCCAAACCGTGTATCAACAGTTGTCAGAAACTCGCAAAGTCACTCTTGGCTTCCGCCCAAACCCCAGGCTCCATTTTCTCCGGTCTGGACCAAAAGGTATATTTACCCTCCCACACCAGCTAACATGGGCTGGTGCTCGGACACCTGCAGAAAGACGACTTTCCTCTTGGTGAGTTGGCCTTTTTTGCACCTCCATGTTAGTTGGTGGGAGGGGTAATTTTGTCCAGTAGAGCCAGAATTACCCTAAAACAAAATCCCAACAGGGGGAAATAGCAAAACATCTTCAGGAAATGGAGTCGAGCACTCTGTCAGCCGCGTTGCGTCAGCGCCTGCAAAACATCGGGCCACAAGTTCGGCTTAGAAGCATGCACCCTGGGCCTACTGGGTCTGTTAGCTATACACAAATGTATACCCTCCCACCAAGCAACATGGAACCTGACAGGGGGCTCCTGGACACCCATTTCACCTCGGCTTAAAGGGAAGCCAAGAAGAAGCTAGGCATTCTTTGTGGGTCATATACTCAAGACATACCCAACTCCACAGTTGGCCCACAGATTATACATTGACGAGGGGGATCCTCCAAATCAGCTTGCGCGTGGGTGTGTCTTGAAATACGAATCTGCCCCGCACGAATGGCCAGGGGTTCTGTTTGGCAACCCAAACAAAAATTGCCATCAAAAAGAGACACTCTCGTTTTCCACATGGCCAAGATTTTTCTCCTTTTGCAACCCTGGCTTACTCAGCCCGAACCCTTCACGGGATCCGAAGGAAGTGAGGTAAAACCTTATCCGTGGACATTCATTTGTTGGTTGACGTGCTGCTTTTTTGGGGTATGCGAGGATCAGATTTTTGATGTTGGTATGCAGGCACAGTTCTGCGCTTCGAGCATACCCGTTGTCAGGGGGTTATCCCTCATCCAACCCTGATGCCTTAGGCTGGCCTTAGGGCTTGTCCTGGGCGTATCCAGGAAGATCTCTCCCCATAGCTGCCCCCTAGGGGTCCATTGCTGGCCGAGTTGTCTGGGAAAAACGTCGCTCTGTTGACCTGTACACTGCTACAGTCATACATGATCAGGGGGAAAGAGAGGCAAAACATGGCTGGCCGAGCAAAGGGTGTCAGCCACTCTCTTGGTGATTTGGTTCAGAAGTTGGGCTGGTGGCTTTCCGTTTCTTCAAATCCCCCAAATCCACCCACCAACGCATCACCTGAACAATTCTTCGGGCTCCACTGGGCCGCCTTTTTGGGGGAAGGGCGGCGTGTCCCTACTCCGGCGGCACGTGTCTTGAGGCCGTCTGAAAAAAATTGCCCAGGTATCCCCAGCCAAAATCCCAGGTGGTATCCCCAGCAACCCCCAACAACCTGGAACTGAATCTCCGGAAGCGAATCTCGCTGAAAGCGGCTGGGGAAAAATACTCACGCCCCGCAAGTCCTTAATCTTTAAAGGATTGTTTTGAGACACCACACCCTCAGTGTGCGATGGAAGAATCTCCGGACTCAAAAGTTCCGACGGTTTTGGCATTCACAATGGACAGACTCCATTGCGCACCGGGGGTCTCAAAAGCTGGCTGAGGGGCCTAATGACTTGGGAGTGTTTTCTGAAAAGATATCCCCAAACCGTACTGTGGACGAACTCAATTTCGCACCACCGTTCAGAAACCAAGCTGGCATGGTTTGATTCCACAACATAAATACCAACAAACGTTCTGGTTTCAATCATGGTGTCTGAGGTGGTGCGAGAAGCGGATTTCGTCCACATGATGCCTGGGAGCTTGACACAAAGATGGCCCGGCCGGCGTCAACATGATTCCTGTTCCGAAAACACGCTCTGTCAGCTCACACACTGAACGCCCTTGGATGGAAAGGGCCGGGTTCCTATCCGGCTGGGGGAGAGTGTCCGGGAATTGCAGGCTTATGAGCATAGCCCTGCAAAAGCCTGGGCTTTTGGCGATATTCCGCACAACAGCTGGAAATGATAAATCATCATCATGGGCAGCTCGTTCCAACATTCTTGCGCATATTTTTCACGTCCACTCGCCTATGAGTGCTCGCCTATTCTAAAGGTCATCTTTAAGGGTCCTGTAACAAAACCAACTACATATCTTTAGTACAGGGATCCTTACATTATACACCTGAACATTGCCTTATAAATGGCGATCTCCCTTTATTTTGGTGGAAAAAGCCATGTTTTAAATGGGCAAAATGTATCTTTTAAGGAGCCCTGTTTAGGGGTCCATTTGCTTCAGATCCAGATGTTGCTCTCCCCATCCTTTGGCAAAAAAAGCGATCTGTATACAGGAATAAGTAATCAAGGGAATCAAACTAACAGTGGGATTCCCCAGCTTGAATTATCACAAAGTCCATTGGCTCGCGGATTGGCTGTCCGACCTTGGCCCATACACCAAGATCTGCAGATTCTCCATGGGCGGCTGGTCATTTTGGAGTTGGTACCCTGTTTTGCTTGTTTTGAAGGGACACCAAAAGCAAGCTACAATTTGTTGAATCCTCAAAAAAAGACATACCCAGGTCTGCAACAAGATAACATGTCAGGCGCAACCCCATCCAAACTTCCACGGTGAGCACTTTTCGTGCCAGTGGTGTGTTGAGAACCCAACGGGTCTCCAAACTCCGAATGCAACCACTTTACTGGGCTGCTAAAAGTTTACCTTGTGGTTAAGTTCGGGAACCCAACCACTAAACTTCACTAAACCAACTAAAAGATCTAAAAAGATCTAAAAAGCAAAGGAACCGGATGGCTGGGAACCGCCAAGTTTAAGGTCCCCAGTGAAACCCATGGTCCCGCAAACTGGACCCAGCGTGTTACGTCTCGCCTTTGTCCCAGGAGGCAGTCGTGGAGCAAAGTGACGGCGCTTTGGCCGAGCCTGCGCCTGCGAAAGGCCGGGCCAACATGGGGCGCTCGATCGAGGGCGGTGGTTGTCAAAACCATTGGTACCATTTTGGGGTAGGTGAATTCTCCACCCATTTTAGAGCCTTTTAGCGGGGATTGGGATGTTCACTGAGGGTACAGGATTTTGACCCATGGCCATGTGTGTGTGTGCTAAAATGGGTAAACACTGCAAATAAAAATGGTTCCAGTCCAATCTTGGTTGATCTTTAGCTTCTCAAGTCTTGCTATGGAAAATACTGTTGAGAGTTCGTTGCCCTGGGGCTTCTGCCAATCAGCACGGCAACCTCTTTCATGCAATCATCATCAGGCAAATCATTCCCTTCATTGATGAAATGGGCCCCCTCGTATTTCCCTTTGTCCAGGTCGTTGAATAGTACGCCTCCCGTTGCAGAATGTAGTGTTGTTCCTTTCATCCACCCGTCCTCCATTCTGAGCACCTACCCTTCCTCCCACTGACGCGGCACCTGAGGGAGGGTACCTGGATTGCTCGTTTCCGCTTGGAGGGACCAATTCCCTGTCAGGTGCCATGTTCGGAGAAAGGGTACATGTCCATCCAAACAAAAGGCCCAACCCGCGAAGGTCTTTGAATCCGCAACAAAGCTAATTAATATGCACGGGATCCAGCACGCAATGTAAAAGGCTCACACAAACCCGCGCATGTCTTTGACGCCTATCAAAGCTGATAGCTCAGTGAGATCCAAACCACCTCCAGTCAATGCACGGGGCATGGCTCATGGCGCATCCACGAGGCGAAGGGCTCCAACCGCGAGCACAAACCGACCTGCGAAATTGCGTTGAACACTTTTTGTGGTGTGGGAAAAACCCAAACCAACTACAAAGAACTAAAAAAACTAAGGGACCGGATGGGGACTACCCAGAAAACCCATGCCCTAAGCGAAAAGGTTGCGAACAAATGGACTTGGTCGTGGCCACCACACCTCAGAAGAACAAAAACACTTTGTTTGCTGCTTGAGGTTCAAGGGAACCGCAAAAATGGAAGGGTGAAACCCACTCAGCTGGGACACGTGCATGCTTAAACTACGTAAGTAGGTTCTCACAGATAACTGCACGTTAACCAACCCCTGTTGTCCCACTTGTACCCCTGCTCAATACTTTCCATTTACGCTCAACATCCAAGAGCACGGGGGCAAAAGGAGATTCCGATCCTAAAAATGGTCATAATCTACTTCGCGGGTCTCAGTTCCTGAGTGGATTCTGTTGGCTTACTCAAATGTGATGTTCTAAAGTCCATAAACTCAGGGAGTGAGACCGTTGCACTTCCAAACACTTATGTTCCCCCCTTGCAAGCGCCTACGCAGGCGGTCACCGGCTCACAGAACTCCGAGAAGCACGGCGCCGTGTTGGGCGGCCTCGGTCTCTTTCGGCGCGAATTTCTCGGCGGCGGGGAGCTTAAACTGGGCTGTCCGTTTTCAGATTTTCCGCTAAGAGTCGAAGACTTGTGGGTTAGATTCGGCCACGGGAATCCTTAAAACGAGCTCCACATGTCGAGCTTTTTCCCATTCAGCCAGATCCTTGGCTTGTGGAATTCGGGGGTGCTTTCTCAAGATGCGTGACAATAATTGGTTGAAACTATCTTTAGGAAAATTGCAGACACGCCAGACCGAGGGTCCAAAACCCCCCAAGAGACTCCTTTGGAAATGGAGGCAGGGGGGTCCAAAATTAACATTCCGAAGCGAGAAGGCTGGTGTGACTTTCACGGGCCGTTGGAAGGGGAGCAAAAAATCATATTTGGGATTTCCCACTAAACCACCATGTTTCCCAACAACAACCATGTGCCCCCCTCAGTGCTTGACGGGGTGGAAGGGCATCCTATCTGTGAGGTCCGGATTGCTTTTGGCTGATCCACCACCATGTTCATTGTGTAATTCACCTAACGATAACAAATACCTTTGCACATACGAATGGACTATGAATATATTCTTTGTAGTGATGGCAGCAATGCTACCAAACATTACAATAGCTGATGCCCACCAAAAACAGTTTGTGTATTGTCATGACCTTTGGTCCATAGTTCTGCTGCAAGATGACGTTAAAACTGGGCTGTTTCCAGATCCCTGCGCTAAAAGTCGAGCTTGAGTGGTTTCATGAAAAGTCACCCTGCAGCCTGATTCAAACAACCGAGAAAGAGGTAGGAGGTTCAAGCAAGCCACTTGAGCCAGAATGGCCCCGAGGAAAACCTCCGAGTCAAGTTCCCGCGAGGGTCAGGCAGCCTGCAAACAGTACTTAGCCCAATGACATCCAAGTTTAACCAAACAAGTGTGGCCAACTTAAGAAAAAGCCTACGCCCTAAAAGTCTGAACCCTCAAAACCTCTGGCTGGGAACCAAGCCAGATGCTCCATTCCTGCTTCTGCTGCTCCCTTGCGGCCCCAAAACAAGAACCAGCTTGGCATATTCACAGCATTTTTGGGTGGGCGAAATACGTATTGACTTGGCCCGCAAGCAAGGGGTACACCGAAAATCATACGTATGTTCAAATGGTTCAGATTTCGTCGCCGCTAAAGTATATATATATATGAAAATTGGCTTAACGCGGACGTGGCGTCCTTTTCCCTGTGGCTCCCCGCTGCAAACGCCCGCGGATGGTGAAGTTGTAGGCTCTGCCCGGCGCGCAACCCTCCACCAGGAAGCTCTGCTCCTGACTTTTCGGTGTAGAACGCGCTGAGTTGCCGGGATTAGACAAACGTCAGGTTTAACCGGATTGGAGGCTGGCCGGATTTGAAACTAGGAACTTCCTTTGAGACGCCCTTGTACATTTGTTTCTACTTGCGCTCATCCAATGCTATTTGTTTGGCTGTGCAGTTAAGCAGGCAAGCAACTTGCTGGTTCTCAGTGCCCAGGTTCCTTCAAATTTCGGGAATGAAGCTGCGCATCGCCTAGCCGCTTAAAAGGAAGCCACAAGAGATGGCGCATGGGGTCATTCCAGCGCATTCACTGAAAACCAGTTGGACGATTGTCTCAACAATATCTCAAAGACTTCCCCACTGACCCCGAGACCAAACCCCAATGAAGATATATGACATCTAAACCTTGTTTAGAGCGTATTTACCCCAAGACCCTTGGTAGGGTCCCGATTCGATGCATACAGGAATCAATCAAATGATTGCAGAGAAACATTTAAACGCGAAGAACTCAAGCATGCTGTGGATGGTTGCGAAATCCGTTCGCACCACCTAAGACACCATGGTTGAAACAATTGTTTGTTGGTATGTAAAAGGGGATCGAATCATTCCAGGGCTTCTTAGGTGGTGGGAAATGGATTAAATTGGTGGAAAGCTCGAAAATTTAGCAAAGGGAGAGAGTTGAAGCCTGTTCCTTTTGGCTTCCGCAGAAGGCTCACTTGTCTGAACAACCATCCAACAAGATAAATGGAGCTCATGCAACGGAAACGGGTTCCCTGTAGCCCCCTTGACAACTCAGCTCTACCAAGGGAAACTCACCTTGAATGGGCCTGCGGTCAATGAGTTTGCTGAGACGCCCCCGGCCGGTCGGCATGAGGCACGCAACAAAAAAGTCCGGGCGGAGTCACGCCCAATGCAACTAACAAAATGTCGAGACAAGGCGCACAACGGGCGCAATGCCGAACTGCCTGCGAATTCGCATGAGCCTACGGAAACTGGCGTATCTCGCATCATCCGAAATCAAATCCAAAGCGCTGGGCCGAAGCTGCAGGGGCGGTGATTGGATCTGCTCATTCTGGAAGCCAAAATGCACTACTCCACTGGCAGTCTCAACCGTCTCCTTTGGGTAAAGCATCTCGGGCCGGCGGGTCCATCCTCCGCGCATTTGGTTGCAAAAACTGGCCCTGGCACTTAAGCTGTGGCGAAAGAAGGAAAACCCAAAAAGGCGTTTGCACTGAAAATGGAGTCAAGTGTTCTCATGACCTCAAAGACACAAGGAATCAAAGCAACTTCGGCGGCCTGTGTTTCGTGTCGGAAGACAACTCCAGCTGCTTTCCGTGACACTTGGCCACAAGGTGATGTCAACGCTACCCTGCAAGAGGAAGCCCTCGGAACCAGCGGAACAGTGGGTCCAGTGAACCCCCCTTGCTCGAAGGCTGGGTCTGGCTGGCGACCGGAACTTCGCCGCCCGAAGTGGCGGAAACGGTGCGCCAGCGTGGCGACATTCGCTGCGACGATGTCATGGCTCGCGTCGTTTATGTAATTCATCAAGTGGATGAAGCCCGACCCTGAAACGCTGGCCTCATCCGTGAAGCTTCAAATCCTGGTTACCCACCTTAGTTCAGCTTTCCTCTGATTGGTGGTTTGGATTGGTGCTTTGTAAGTTTGCGGGTGTCCCATTTGCCCCGTGCAAGGCTCAAGGGTGCAAATTCCCATGAATCCAAACCACCAACTAAGCGATGCCTAATGGGCACGCCGGATTCATCAACCCGTTCTATAGAAAGGGGGTGTTCCCTCCAAAAGTGGTCTGATTCCCCACATTTCACCCAGGGGCACCCCCTATTCATAAACTGGGGTTGATTTATTTAGGGCTCCCATTAGTGGCATCTGGATCCCCAGGTGGTTGGATACGACTCGGTTCGGAGTTGCCACTGGATGCACTGGGTTCGGAGAGAACCAAAAAAAAAAAAAACGCGAATCAGCTTCCCTCCAATTGGTTGGTGAGGGACCCGTTCAAATCCGAACCAAACCACCAAGGGCCACCTGAGTCACACTTAGAACCCGGTATTACAATGGTCTACCCAAACCCGTGAAAAGAATTGAAAAGCCGCCGCACCGAACTCTGGCTGGGATCTTCCCCTACCCTCCACTTACCCAGGTTTTAATTGTGCCTCACCTGAGAAAACAACAAAAAACCAAACTAGGCGGAGCAACAAAATATCTTTGTTGCCTGGTTAGTGGAAAACACAGGGACCCAAAAAAAGCCCCCCCCCCAAAAAAAAAAGAAGAAAAAGCAAAAAGGGGAGCCAATTCTGGGGAAGCAAAAACCCGGCGACCTGCGCCACCGTCGTCCTGCACCGCGCCGTCTTTGGCGGCGAAGACCGCCGGACAGCCGAACTGGCGGATCCGCAAGCGACCTGAGCACAGGGTATACCACTCGCTTCGCGTGGCTCGTCTTTCTTTTGTAGGGAACCCCCAAACATAGTGGTGTTCCTGATATTTCCCTGTTAAAGAACACCAATAAAAAGGGGGACCCTCAAAATGACGCAGCCGCTTTTTGCTGTATAGATACTAGACACAGTCTACTCAGATTTTCGCTTGGGGATAGTGGTTTGGGTGGCGGGGAAAATCCTCAGGGACAAAGAATGTAGCCCAACAAGTACAAAGGGTAGCCTCAAGACTTTGTGGGTCCTTGATCCCTTGCTGAGAGTTAACATTTCAGTTGGCCGTGTCATAAACCCAACTGTAAACACTAAAGTGAAATTGGAACCGTATGGGAACAAAACATACACGGTGCCTTCATTGGTTGGAGTGGGAGAACGGCCTCCAACAAACCGCCGGCGAGTCGGGCGAGTCGCGCCTGCCACGCCCTCGGACTGCTGGTGGATCTCGAAGCTGAGGTGCGGCGCCTTCTGCTCCAAGACCTCCTAAGCCCCAGAAAAAAATCACGCGCGTCCGAGCGAGCGGGTTGGCCCAAAAAAGTCCAGGACCAGTAAAGTCCAAGACAAAAGTCGCCACCCAGAACTTGTGGGTGTTCTAAGAAGCCCCCAAAAGATATCGCTTCAAATCGAGCGGAATAGAAAAGTATCCACCCAAAACTTGCGGGCGTTTGCCACAAGAATGGTCCAAGCCCAAAAGTGTGAACTCAGGAAGTGAGCATTGCCGGGGTTCCGCCCTCCGAATACGTAAAAAGATTGAATGGAGCAAAGCCATTTGGGTGTGTCTTTTTTCCAGTTGGTACTCCTTTTCTTTCAACAACTTAAGGAAATGCACACGGTCAAAAACTGTTCATGGAAATCTTCACTTTCGTCCGGCTCCCAAACCCAAAAAAGTTGAAAGAGGGCAATGCCCAGGCCCAGAACCAGCCCACCCCGAACCAACCCGAGCCCGGAACCAGAACGTACCAACGCATCCGAACTGGGGCATATGGAACAACCCTCCCAAAACCATGCGCGGGGGATGACAAGAAAAAGAAAAGAAAAACGTGCTACAGGGGGTTGGTACAAGCATGGGCATCTGCCAAAAGTCGTGCCACCTGGCACGTCGCCAGAGTGACCTCTGTCATGGTTCCCCTTAACTCGCTCGGCCCAAAGGACCAAAGCTATGGGCCAACCCACGGAAACCGAAAGCTCATGTCTCGGTTGCGAAATCTGCTCCCCTGCTGAAAGTCTAACTTTTAGTGGTTTAGTGGAAAATCCATTAGTTGGCAAGAAGTTAAAGTCCTAACAGCCAAGCAAAATGCACCAAAGATGTATGTCAGGTCGATTCGCTTCGGGCTGAGTAAGCACGCTTCGGGTTTCTTGAGAAACCTACATCCTGGATACGTTACATCCGACCGGTTCCCTTCCAAAAGGGTGAAGGATAAACAGCCGATAACAGCTTGCTCCTGCCCTGCCGAATTATTTGTATCCTTCAACTCAATGCATCTTTTGTTTTGTAAGTCTGTCTCAAATTGGAGGACCAATAGGACCACCAAAAAAGGGTTGTGCTTTTGTTCGAGTCCCCTTGTATATTTATTCCCTTGGTTCCCCCGTGGCCCGCAACCGATAGACTCCTCGTCGAAGAACCAGGTCAGCCGGATGTTCCCATCCTCTCGCTCGCGGCCCCAGTTTCGGCGAGAATGAAAGCGAGGACCGGGTGGTCTAGCAAGGCTCCTATTCTTGAAATCCTCTGTTTTTTCATAAAATCCATAAAACCACGAGAAACTGGGGAAAACAGCTGGCCGGCCCGGAACACCTCCAAACCACCGGAATGACCAAACCACCAATTCTTCTTGAGGGAAGCTGATCGGAGATTCATCTCCTCTGAAGCTGTGGCATGGAATCTTTCGATGCCCCACCTTGAGGAAAGCGCAGGCGGTTCCGAACCCATTCTTTCCAAGAAACCTTCTTTTCAAAGACCATATGAGTAAGCAGGGGTGTATTCATCCGTCAACATTGCCCTCCGCAAGAACCAGGGGTTCAAATCCCCCAGCCACCAATCCAAACCATGAACGAAGGGGCACGCGATTCTAAAAATGTTCCCCTTTGGGGGGCCTTCCCCGAAACAAACTCCTAATCCGATTTTGTGTGGCACGCTGCAAGGGAACCACGCGATCTAAGATTGATTTTGCACCACCCAGCCTTCTGTTACTCACTTCCCGAGTGGGTTGGCCAAGAAAACGTTGACCCAAGCTGGTTGAAATACCGCTAGAATGGAGTCCAAACCCAAAAAAGGTGGCTAAAAGTCGAGAGCCAGGATAGGAGTTGCAGTTTCGCCAAACCTATCCTCCACACGGGCCATGACCTCCTCTGGCGCTGCGAGAGACGGCACGGCTTCGGCGAGCTCCTGCCCAACAGGTGTTGACGTGACCGGGGTGTAAAACAAAGGGCTTCCTGTGCCTTCCAACCCTTGGTATGGGCTTGCAAAGAACTCTTCTAGTGCTACCTTCCCCATTCTTTCCAGGCATGCTTCTTTCTAGAAAACCTCCGGAAACCCAGGGAAACGGCCGATTTTGGAAAAGAACCGATAGAACTCTGTTTGTGCCCTACTAAAAATGAACAGAACCAACAAAACAAAAACCCTGCCAACAGCAGTGAAGTATAGGCGTCCCTTCTCTTGAAACCCTCTTGTCATAGGGCAATGGGTTTTGCGGTGCAGGGTGCTGTTAGCCCCTAAAACATAACACTGTTTTGGACGCCATCGTGTAGGATCTCAAACGCCCTCCATATCCTAATTTCCTCTAAGGCCCTACTAGGGATTGATTTTGGGGAACAGGAGAGTTCCGGATCGTTTTCAAAGGGAGGCAACCTTCGGTTCAAGCCGAATGTTTGGCAAAAAAATGTGTAACAACTTTCCAAAGGCCCCGGGGGGCGGCAACATAGGTTGCATATACAACCCTTTTGGCCGTGTTCCGAAAAGAGCCCAAAGGAAGGTGAACAGCCATGTGCGGGTGGCTGAAACTGAGCCCGGCTACAACCACTCTTCACATCGCCCCACTCCAAGGTGCGGTCCCCCGCAAAGTAATTTGTAGCGGGCTGCAATTTTTTCCTTGTGAGCATGCCTCGGTTTTTGGAGTTGGAACCTGAAAATTTTGGTTGGGCGAACGCCCTTCGGTTGCAATGTATGCTCACTCCCAGGTGATCCCAGCCGGCCAGTGGCCAGGTTGCAATTGAGAAAGGGCCCAATCCCATTGTTCAAGAGCCATATCCCCCTCCCACAATCCCATGTTCTTTAGACTCAAACAAAAACGTACACACACACACACACACCGCACTCTCTCACAATCCCATGTTAGATGCATAACCCTTTCTCCCACTAACATAGCCTCTTGAAGGGAGGGTAGCTGGAAGAACCATTTCCTCTTGAAGGGAACCCCTGTCAAGTGACATCCATGGTTTGGAGGGTAAATGTCTGCAACATCTACGTGAAATAAGAATTGGCTTTTTGAAAGAACACACATCGCGAGCTCGTTTTAGTTTCAAGTGAGTTCGCCATAAAATAAGCAGAAATCGTATCGGTGCTCAAACGACGCCACAAGGAACCCCGCCACCTGGCCGATGGCGCGCGTGTAGAGCATGTCATATCCCCGGCTTGTCAGGAGGAAGGAAGTCAAAACCAAGGAAGGGCCTGAAACAAATGCAAGGAATCAAAAGGGCAGCCGGCCCCTCTTCAACAAGCTTACCTTTCTCTGGGGCGTCTTTTTTGAGGGCACCCCCTTGTGAAACCAAAAGGAAAACCAGCACTTCGCAGGGGTCCGATTCCTGCAAAAAGACGAGCCACCCATGTAGGTTTTGCTTGGGTCTCCCTCATTTCAGCTTTTGGAACAAGGGAACAAGTGTAGAAACATGCAGAGGAGTTTTGGCGCTTTGGCCTTTTGCGTTCAAGAACCAGTAACCAGGGGTTAAAATTTTGAGTTGGAGATGTCTTTTCTTGAGGGCACCCTTTTTTGGGTTGCTTCTAAAGGGAGACACGCCCAATTGAATCCAATGCAATTCTATTGGTTCATTCCCCATTCTTTTTAACCATTGTTCTTTTCAAAAACCAGCTGTTTCCCCTGGGGGACTGATGGTTTTCTGAAAGGAAGGATCCCTGGAAAGAATGAAAATGGAAGTGTCCCCTAGAGCAATGGGGGCGAGCTTGTTTCTGCCCAGCCCCTCGCCTCGGTCGCCTCTGTCGCCTCCGCCTTTGGATCGATCACGCGATGCATCCATTTGCTTAGGCCCCTTGCTTAGGAGGTCCCTTCCCTTTTTTTGGTTTCCAAAGGAGCTTCAAATCCAAATCCAAATCCACCAATCCAAACCACCAATTGAGGAGCACCTGAAATAGAGTCCAAACCCAAACTTCCATTTGCGTCTTTGCCCCCTAAGAAAAAAAAAAAACATGAGAAAATATGTCCAATGGTGAAATCGATTCCCTTTAAAGCCAACAGGGCAAAATACAAAGTATTTTTGAGCAACTGGAAGGATTTCATGCATCCCGCAAACACCCCCGCAAAATGTTGACGCCATAGTAATCAACCAGCCAGTGTTATGAATACGGGGTGCTTTTCCCTGGGTGAAATGAAATAAATCAAACGTATCTTTGTCTGAAAGAAAAATGATCTTTAAAAAAAAAAAAAAACATACAGAGAACAAATTTTGAAAATTTTCCATTTTGACAGCGCCATTGAATCCAAAAACAGTGGGCAAGACATAAGGCATGTTTCGACCTCGAATTCGAGGCCAAAGGGCAACCGCCCAATTGTCTGGTCGATTCGGGCTGGACTTCTTTTGAGGAGAGCATTCCTTCTGGATGGATTTTCGAGAGAAACCCAAAGCAAACAAACACCTTGCATATATATATATATATATATATGTATATTTGGGGGGAGTCCATATCTGATTTTGATTGACAAAATCCTTTTTGAGAAACTCAATTCTCAGGGACTCCCCAGTTCAGCTTCAACCCAAAAGCCGCAACTTGGCCTTACCAAACCAAAATTATTCTCACCCGAGCCAATTGCGGAAAATGGTGAAATACATCTAATTCTCAGCCTCCCTCCAATTGGTGGTTTGGATTTGGATTTAGACCCCTGGCCTTTGTAGAGGGTTACACCGATTCGCGAATCGGGAAGCTGAAATTCCATCGGCGCTGCCCGAAACGCAGCCCGCCTTTGCTTCTGGCACATCCACACGTTCTTCGCCTCGGGACGTTTCGGCTGCGGGGGACCGAGGGCAAATCACCCGCGCCCACCGCGCCGATGGAAAAGCCACCGTCGGGTTCCACCCCAGAGGGGAAAACCCCAAAAAATTGGCGATGGTTTCTTTTGAGTGCCCATCTAAACGGCCACAACAAGGCCCGTGTATCTGGGCAGACAACAATGCCCAAGCTAGAATTGAGCAGCACATCCACACCTGTTCGAAACCACGTGGAATACAACACCCTTGGCCACCTCCAAAAGAAATTCGTGGTTTCCTGGTGTTTTTCCTTCAACACCGAGGCAGTCAAATGCTCAAAAACCTTTGCCTCGCTCAAATGCTCCTAGCAACCGTTTCTGAAAGGTCTGGAGAAACCTGACCTTGCTTCCATTTGTTTCCGCCCCCTGCAGAAAAATCAAAAAAAACATCCAGTAGTGATAGATTCCCTTTAAAACCAACAGAGGAAAATAAAAAATATTCTTCAACAAATGGAAGCTTAGATCCACCTTCCTCCGACATGAGGTCCCTCCGTGTCAGCTTCGGCGTGTGCCAGCCTTGCCAAAAGTCAAATCGACTCAACGGAAATGGCTTTTGGCGAAAAGAAAACACTACAACGATGAAATCGCAAGCTGCAAAAAGGATATGTCTTCTGGGAAGCTTCATCGTGGGAATCGCTGAGCATGTTCTAGACGCTCTGTTGGTGTACACTACCCCGGTTGGCACACCCCTTGCTTTTCGGACTTCCATCTCAGCTTAGTCCTTTTTGCGGCACTTGGGTCTGTCTCCAAAGCAGGGGCACCCCGAAAATAGTTTGGTTTCCCTTCGGTTTCCCTTTCAACCCCAAACAAAAAACAGGAGCACCCCCACAAAGTGACAGACTCACTTGGGACAAAGCTCGGAACATCCCGCACCCTTGGATGGAGGAACACCCAGCCCCCCAGGTCCACCTAAACCGGTTGAGAGCCATCGGGTCACGTCTGATTTGGGCTTGAACAAAAAATGGATGTCCCCTTTTTCACACGATTGAAACCAGTGAGACAATGGGCGTTTCAGCTACATGGCAGCCATTCTGTTCAGGTTGACCCTCAGATTTGGGTGTCGTTCTTGGGAGTTGGTGCTGCCCTTTGTTTTGGTGGGCTTCCGTTCAAGGGGTTCCCAAAGGTCACCTCAAAGACACGTCCTTCCGTACAAAAAGGACCGCCCTGCCCACAAACAAGACCTCTCTGGGGCTCAGGGAAACGGAAGGCACAGTCCCCAAAAGTCAGATTGCATCATCCCACAGTCAAACTGACAGAAGGCAAAACAGGCAGAGGCTACAAGGCCAAGGGGATGTGGTCTGGTTGTTTGGAGGTCAGCGAATGGACCGGATCTGCGATCTGACCTTGGATGGCCGGCTGTCACTCCCCGCCTACTCCAGCAGCCGCATCGCCGCCGTCGCCCTGCCACGGAGCCCCGGGAACTGAGGGCCTTGATCCCTTGGTACCTTCATATGGCTGTGGCTCAAAAAACCGGTACCAAAATAGAACCCTGGTAAGTGGAAAAATGGGCCAAAACCTGCGTAACCCCTCCTGTTTAATTTTGAGCCACACCCATATGAGCCACAATCAAAACCTTGGTAGATGAAGGGAAGTAAAGGAGAATCCCCAGCAATTCATGTGTCCGCCATTGGGTACGCCATTTGCATGCCGATCGGTTTTTCTAGGGATCCGAATCTTTCTAGAAAACCTCCGGAAACCCAGGGAAAATGGATCCGGTGTTTGGAAAGAACGATGGTTGAAAAGAATGGAAAGGGAATCAACCCCTAGACCCTTGCCGAAAATCAACAAAGATGAGCGGGAAATGTCATAAGCATCCGTGATCTTTTGGAAAAAACACACACAAAAAAAACGACGTGTTGTTTCTCCTTTTTTCTGGAATATGGTTAATAAAACCCATCTAAAGCAGTGTTCACCAAAGAAACCGATCCAAGTTTCTTGGCGTGGCTCGTCTTCTTTAGGATTCGAACAAATGGGTGGTGTCCCTTGTAGTGTTCCTGCAAAAATGCACAGATGAGTGGGGCTACCCTCATCAAAAGACATTCTAGTTGACGGGAAGAGACACGAGGTACCAGATGTTGATCCAAGTGGTGGGATATCCCTCCATACTCGACGACTGGGGACGTAGGAGAGGTGGATTTTCCTCAAGCCGGTGTTGTTGTTCTTCTTGTTTCTGGGGACCCAACTGGGACCCGGCCATCATTTTTGTCAGGGGATGGCCGCCAACTTATGTTTTGACGCACCCAAAAGAACCAAAAAGACCAGAGCAACGGGCAAAACGAGGAGCAGGCCGGTCAGGACCAATGCCAACCGAGCAGAGGCTCCCGCAGCGCCTCGAGCAGATGCCAAACCGAATCCAGCGGCGTGAACCCACCGTAAGACGGCCAGGAAGACGGACCAGTTTGTAAACAGCCCGTTGGCCCCCATCCTGCGCACTACCCTGCAGACGACACCATACAATTGCCAGTCGAAGCGGGTGCGCACCAAAGCCTGGCACCTGTGGGACCAGCAAACATTGATGCCGCCAACGCTGAGTTCGAAAATGCCGTCAAAACGACAGGCGAGAGCCCCGGTGCAAAAGTCATAGCCATGCTTGTTTGGTGTTTCCCCAAAACCAGGGTGTCCGCGCCATTTCCCTGCTTGGAACCTTCAGAAGTGGCAGCTTTAGTGGAAACCACCGGTGAGCTGATCCAACTTTTGAAGGGTGGCTTCCAGTGACTTTCTGCGTGGGTGGCTTCCAGGGGTACGTTGGGAACCGGAACTACGGCTACCAACTCTTTGCAAGACTGGGTGCCGTCGCGAGCGAAGGGTAGATAGAGCAGACATTGGCGCCCAAGCGAACCAGAATTTAAGTTGGAAGAACCCGCCCCTTCTGTTCAACCCTCAAGGATTGACTGGAAGCAATTGGGGGTGTAACTGGTGGAGTTTCTAGAGGGGTTCTTAGAAGGGCTCTCAAAACCATTCCGTTGGGTAGGGTGGGGTCGGACAAGGATGATACAGCAACTATCTGGATGTACTGAGTTTACAGCCTCGCCTAGAAGCTGCAGAAGCAAGATGTCTCAGTCAGTCATCTATGCCAGGGGTCAAAAAATATGGCCCCTTTGCACCTTTGCGCCACCTTGTGTTGCCTTAGGGGAACACCTGTCCATTGGCCGACTCTACCAACCCCATTCGGATGCGAACCCCCTCCCCCCCGAAATTGCTGAAGGAGGCAAACCTGACCCGAGCCATGGTCAAAATCATGTTGCTTCCCCAAAGGACTTGGACAGATGAGTGAGTTTTGCGGGTTGTTCTGCGGGAAATTCAATAGCGTGCTTCCCACGTGCACCACAAACTACTAGTAGTGTGTGTTTCTCCTGGGGATACCTGACGCTGTGTCTGGATCTTCCGTCCCAGGATACCAGCGGAAGCCAGCGCAGCTTCTGTTCAGGCGTTGAATCCTTTGGCGGGAAACCACGGCCATGTTTTGGATCCGAGCATCCATTTCTGGCACATGTTCAACTCACTTAGTAGGCTATAACAAGGCCTAGCAGGACAGGGGTTGGTTGACGGTTGAGCCACATCTGGGGTGCCCACAAAACCAAATCTTCTGGCATTGTTCCATATTTAGTCTACCCCAAAACATTAGACATATTTCTGGAAGAGACCACAGTGCTTTTTGCCAAGTATTGTGGAATCCCTAAGAGGGGTAGGTACAAGGGGGGTGGGTAGTTGACAGCCTTAGAGTTCGGTAAGGATTCTTAAGTTTTTTAGGCAGCCTTAGGGAACACCCCCTTGGACCCCCCTAACTCCTTACAAAGTGGTTTCAACATCCAAGGCACACGGGGGTTGATCAAAGGTCCTATAAACACGGGATGACCATTGGTGGAACGACCTCCAAAAAGATTTGATATGTCCAACACATGGGAAAAGTGACCCTTGGTCCCACATGGCGATCAACCGCCCCATCTTCCGAGCAAACCGCGAAGCTGACTGTGGGCCTCCGCCCCTGGACTGCCAGCAAGGAGCGCCTGCGGAAGCCCCGCTGCCTGCGGGTAAGACACCAAGGGGGGGGTGGGGGCTATCCCGGTCCCCGGATAAGCCCAGGTTTAGCCAAGGGGGGGCTATCCATGGGGGGGGGCGTGTCCTGGATCAGCCTAGGTTAAGCCAGGGTAAGACACCAGGCGGATCAGCCGCGCTTATTCGGATAAACCACCTCCCCACCCCTCCCCCCTTGCGGGTCCATGATCGCGGGAAAGGCAGCAAGACGGTTTTTTTGTCGGAAGACGCATGGCATGGTTTCATTGAAGCTATCAAAGGAATCGGGTACCCCCGCCAATTTTTGTTGGTCCGACAGCCGGGGATGCCAAGAGGGCCCCCTAATCTTGACGTGGTTTGGTGGTTTGAATTAGTGGTTCAAATCCAACCACCAACTAAGCTTTTACCTGAAATGAGTTGCAGCCATATGGCGAAATAACCGACCCCGCGCTGTCACTGACCTTTTTGCCTTCGCTTCTTGTTTCGCTCCCTTGGTATCCAATTTAAGTATATGGTGATTTGCAGGGTTCCATTCTTTGGCTACCCTGACCCCAAGGTAGACCCGAGAGAGAAATCAACCACCCCTGCGTTGAAGTCCACTTTGGGGTTGTCCAAAAAACCGAGTTCCTGGTGATCTCCTCCCCGCCCGAGCCCCGCCTTCGGCGCCGGGAGAGCTTCCGCCGCGCCCGGCAGCGGCGGCAACTCCTTCGGATCGGGCAACTCCTGGGCCGTCCTTGGGGCGAGAGTCAGTTCCGAGCCGTGGGGTGTCCCTTTGAAAGGAACCTCTGTCCGTGTTCATGCCCCAAACTCTGAAAACGTCCGGGTTGAACGGAAACCCAACCACCAAACCAACGAAGAAGCTGAAAACCTAGAGGGGATGGATGGGAACCGCCAAGCCAAGTCCCACAAAAACAGACTCACATAGTTTCCTTTTGGTGTTCCTAGGACACCAAACAAGGAAAGACAGACCCGTTCTCAGGGATCCTTCTCAATCAAGGAATTTGGGCGGGTTCCAAGGAGAAGGGGGAAATGGCGAAGCAAGCCTCAGATGGGCAAATGTGGTCAGACGGAGAGCTTCCGTGTGATGTTGGACAGAGTTGGGGAACAAAAATGATGTCTTCTGCTTTAGGCAAGGAGCCAGAGTTGGACAAACAATCCACGCGAATCGATGGATGAAACCCGATGTGTTCGGGTTTTGATAGACACCCAAGCCCAACCGGCGCGAAGAGGATTTCGTCCACCTAGAGTATTGACTGTTGTCTGTGGAACATAGATCGTGAGTGACTGGCAAAAGCAACATGGTGGTACTTTGAAAAACATCTCTCTGGCCATTTGGCTCTGCTATGATTGGAAGTCTAGACTCTTTTCCGGAAGACTGTACACATGATGTCTTCAGCTTCCATGTGTCAGAACAAGGGGCACCGGAAAACTCAACACGTGGTTTTCTTGTTTTTCTTCCTTTTTTTTCTGTTGGTTTCCCTTTCAAGCAACCTCTTTAAAGCGTACCCGCAAAACACACACCTAGTATGGGTCCTGCCTTTGTGTTCCCACATGATAAAGGTCAGTATGACCAAAAACTAAAAAAGAAGATCCTTGAACTGCAAAGATAAGGAGGCCTTGGCAAAAAAAGAACATTTGATCCACTCGCCGGGTGTTGAGGATCTGGACCCGCTTCCGGTGAATCGCATTTATACAAGCTTCTTGGGTGAGGTCCTTACAAGGACGAAATGGCGCTGCATGAGAAGCAATGTGAAATCCGTCCATGCAACCGTTTCTAGTTTGAAGCACACTCTGAACAATTGATTTCCATTCATCGCGAGTGGACCAACGTTAATCCATTGGTCAAATACCAGGTCGTTCCCTGTTCCCTAGTTTCAACGTGTAGGGAAGCCACCGGTTGGCTTCGAAGGGCACCCTTTTCCCCAAACCCAAAAAATTGAAAATGGGAATTCGCCACGTATTGGTTTTGCATTTCATCACATGTCCAACCAACCTCCCCCAAAAAACAAGAAACAAGTGGCTGTGTCTCACAAAAAAAGGGGAACCCCAAAAATGACGGTGGACCCTTTTGAAAGGTCCGAGGTCCTTGTCAACCAACCCAGAAAAAACACAACTTTGGTCTCGCAAAGACGCGCCCAAGTAAGCAGGACTGCCACTTCTTCCGGGCGGCATTTCCGCCTGTGCCGTCGGCAAACCCGCCGATGAAACCTCCGGGCGGTGCGGAAAATCAGCTCTGGGAGTCCCGCGTACTGTTAACCCCGGATTAATAAACCCCTGGTTGATTTTGATCGGGGGGTGTCCCCTTTTAGTGGTTGGATTCGGACCACTTTTGGAGGGAACACCCCCCTAATAGTGGGACGGGTTTATTAATCCTGGGTCAACAATACTGTCTCTCTTTAAAAAGAAAAAAAGAAAAACGGACAACACATCCTGCCTTGGTATCCCAAGTGGCAAACCAAAGCCCTGGAACGAGAAGCGGCCAACAGGACACCCAGTGTGTCTTTTGAGGGTACCTTTTTTGGTTGGTTCAAAATCCAAATCGTACCCCCAGTGAACATCCCAATCCCCACTAAAATAGGTTCTAAAATGGGTGGAGAATTCACCTACCAACCAAACTGGGATCCCAAAACGGTTTTGACAACCACAGCCACATAAGGCGACCAAAAGAAGGGCTCTGTGTTGGTGTGTTTTGTTTTGAGAGCACCTCTTGTTTGGTACTTTCAAAGGGAAGCCACGAGGACTCACCATCCAAATGTGGCCTCACCCTCCAAATCAGGACTCCCGCGCAACGCCGCAACGCGTTGCGCACCGCGCACCTCCAGCCGTGCTGGGGCCGGGCTGGCCAACGTCACCAATTCGTTGGGCGCCGACGGCTGAAGCAAAGGAGGCGGCACCTCCTGAGGCGAATATGGTTGTTCCCCTCCAGTTTGTTTTTCTCAAATGGGTGTGGTTACGCAAGTTTTAGTTTGTTGTTTCCATTTGCGACCAATCCTTGAGCCACGGCTTTTGATTTAAGGGGAACCGGAGTAGTTGGACATCACGACTAGAACCGCGGTTGCTTTTGTTCTGGGAGGCGCGAGGGCACTCTTTGCTTGACTTCGTTTGGGAAAGCAAAAGAAGCCCCCCTCAAAGGGCTTGCTACACTTGGGTGTTTGGCCAAGTAAGTAGTTAGCCACCTGGGATACAACCCACTAGTGACTTAACCCCACTTGAGAAGGAACTTACAAAGTGGGTCAAAACCCAGGTTACCAACGACTTACTAACTTGAACATGATAGTCGCAGGAGCGAAGTCCGCACGAAGCTCAATAAAAAATAAGGGACCCCCGTCAATCGTCTCTTTCCGTTCAAACAGGTCCAACCTGATTTTCTGTCCAAGAAACGGAGGCATCCGGTTCAAAAGAAGGAAGTAGGTGTCCTGTGGGGAGTTGGATGGATTCCGATGATAAGAACCGAGCTGAAAGAGGAACCCATCGATGTAGCAAACTGAACTCAGGTCAACAAAATCTTGGTTGCTATCTGCTCCCCTGCTACAAGTGAATAACTTTTAGTGGTTGAATGGTTGAATGGAAAACCCATCAGTTGGCAAAAAGTGTTCAAGTCCTAACATCCCTTGGCAAAATGCACCAAAGAAATGGTCCCGTGCAGGGGCTCCTTGTGGAAAATCGACGGCACGAGAACCTTTTCAGACCATGTTGCAATGAGCTAAAACCAGTGCCGCATATTTTGCCAGAGACCTATGCTTAACATGTTGTTTGCCAAAATGGTCCTCCCATAGAGTCCAGGATCTCGGGAAGTGAGCTGAAGCACCGCTGTCACTTGCTCCGATCAGCAAAACTGGAGCAACGAAAACCATCCCATGCCCGATTTGGTGCCCTTTCTTCGTGAATCCCCCCCCCTTCGGTTTCCTTTCTTCGGGGCCGTCTCTTCCGGTTCCCCAAACCCAGATGGCGCCATCGCCACCCCCGCCTTGGCCACGGGCCTGGCCGGGCTGGCCAGCGTCACCTGCTCCGGCATCGCCACTGGCGCCACGGGCGCCACTGGGGCCTCCGCCTGGAGCGTGGTCTCCAGTCCTGGCATTCACCGACGCAAATGGAAGAGCAGGGCCCGACCCTTGGGCCCTAAAAGGGCCCTTGGAGGGGTTGGCGGCCTGGGGACTGGAGGTATAATATATATATATATATATGTGTGTATATATATATATATATGTGTATATATATATATGTAGAATTACAAATATTCAAAAAGACATGTGAAAATGTGTGTGTATATATATATATACAGCTAGGTCTAGCAGAATGCCATGTGAGGATTCCAGAGTCCGACCCTCAAGGTCGTGCCCCTAGAGTTCACGACATATCTCACAACTCTTCGGCCTCTGGGGCTTCCCACCTCGGCTTTTGCCCCAAAGCACAGATGCCTGCAACAGCCATGTACAACTGGTGATTTGCCTTCCAAACCAATCCGTATTTGACGAACCTTAAACTGTAAGATCATGTTGGGTATGTCTGGTTTTTGGGGGGCACCCGTTTTGCTGGTGCTTCAAAAGGAAATCAAGAGGAAACCTCACATATTTGTGGGGGGGGCTCCATATAAGCCCATCCTTATGCTTCTCAGGCCCTTCCTGTCATCATGCAACAAACTGTCACTTCCGCTCCAAAACAAGTCTGAATCTTTTTGTTGGCCACCCAAACCCAAAAAGTAGAATTGCAGGAACTCGGGAAGTGAGAAACCAACGCTTCGAAGCTCGGCGAGTCCTTCCAGCATCAGCTCCACCTGAGCCTTGCGGCTCCGCAAAGCCTCCCTTTCTCTCAGCAGGCGGCCTGGAGGAAAAGGTGCCAAAGGGGATAGGAGCCGTTCGTTCAAAAGGCACGCCCCCCATGGGGATAGGTATCAAGCAAAATGGTCTCAAGGATCAAGAAAGTACTTGCTATAAGCATCAACAAAAAACTTATTAGGCATCACAAAACAACAGTTTAAGTTAAGCATCAAAACACTTGTCAAGCTGGTCACGTCCTCTTTTATGGCTCTCTCCACGGAGCCCTTTTTGTGACTAGGTTCCTAGGTTGCTACTTGAAAGCTCGCGGAGACGAAACCTTCCCGGAGGAACCTGTTCAGTCGCAAACCTCCCCTCATGGCAGCCTCCGATGAAGTTAAACCCCTGGTTGCTGAATACAGCCCTAGAGTTTAGGATTCCAAAACCAAGCGCTCTGTTGTGAATGCTGGCCCTTGTTAAAGTGGGCATTCGAACATCACTTGCGGAACACGACACGAAACTGGCACTTCGAAACCCATCGAAATCGGCACTTAACTCCGCGACTCGCCTTGCTCCTTCACGTGCTCTGCCAGGATCTGCCTAAAGACGAAGCGCCAAGAGTTGCCGTCGCAAAAAAGGCAAAACAATACTCGTCTTGGTACCAAAACAAAACGGGGGTGTGTTTTCGGGAGAGGGTGACCCCAGCAGCCACAAAACAAGAAAAAATACATTTGGGAATTGTTTCAAGAGGGATCTGCCAGGATCTGCCTGGTTGCCGTCGCAACAAAAAAACAAACAACCAAAAACAAAACTCGTTTTTGGCCTTCGAAGGGCACTTTTTGCGGACACCCGTGGACGAAACGACGAAAGCCGGGCGGGCGCTCTTTTGCGTGAACGAAGGTCAACTTGGACGCAAAAGTGGTGCACCTTGTTCCCCAAAAGAAAAGGACGGGCCAAGACCAAGGCAACTTTGTCCAGAGGGGCGAAGTTCGCGTTGAGCCCAACCAATCCCCATCTTTCCGGGTTGCCATAGCCCTCCCAACTCGTCTCACCGGACGATCCAAGTCTCATCCTGAACCCTACATGGAACATAGAGTGCTGGTGACAGGAAACCGTAGCACATATGCCAAAGGCCAACTCTTCTGCCTGAAGGTCATGACTTCTGGGAACTCCTTCGAGAGCCAAGACAGCCGAGCTCGGAACAAACAGCTTGAGACTCGCGCATCCACTGCGTTACACAGAAAGCCATGGGGCCATGCGTTCGGACTCTGGTCCATATGTTGTCCCCCCGAATCTCCGAGAGAGGCCAAAAATCTCTACGCTGCAAAAGTCTAAGGGCCTCTGATTTCAAAAGCTCGGGGCTAGTTCGGGCCGCGCTGCCAAAGGCAAACCGACATCCCCTTTGCATGGGGCGTACCGGTGTGCACAGAAAAAAACACAAGGGAATCCCACCAGCTTCAGCCATAGGTGTCCTTTTAGAGCAAAAAGATGGCCCTGGTAGATGATGAAACCGCCAGGTAAACCAGGGCCCTCTATTTTTAAACCAAATCAACCAAAAAGGACACCTGTGCGATTCTTCGGGCAACGCTTATTCTGGGGTCTTTGAATGGAATTCCAGGAGGATGGTTTCCCTTGAAAGTTTCCCATGGTCAACACCTCCCAAACGGGTGCTTCAAAAAGGGACCTCGGCCAAACTTCCACAGGTCCCGGGAAAAATGTTTGACTGTCTAGTGAGATGGATATTCCCTCTCTCCCGATGCCCTACATGTGTCAAGCAAGCCCAACCCCAACCACAAAACCACGGCAACATACGGACAGTTGGAGCGCTTCCCTTGTTTTCTTGCAAAATGGCAGGACCGTCTCAAACTCAAAAGGTGTATGGCTGGTACCAAGTTAAAACAATGGTGCCACGCTAAAATCGCCCACCAAAAGCGGCTTTCTGAGTCGCTGCTTTAGCGCCAGTACAGGGATTGGCGACTTGGCCCTTTTGGGGACTGGCCCTTGACCACAGGAAACTAAGGGCGGAAGTGCATACCCTTGTTCATACCCCATTGGCTTCCCTGGCTACCATCCCACTTTGTAAGGGGTATACAAGCCCTTTGAGAGGGGTATGAACATCAAAAACCGGGAAATGCGCTTTTTGGTCGGTCTGCGGTCATCCGTCCATTTTTGGCAGCCGACTCGAACTCATGACCATTGGTTGGAAACCACTAAAAGGATGATCTTTCCCACTTGGGAAAAGTTTCCCCATGGGGGCCGAAGGGAAGATTGATCAAACCCCAGGGTGTAAAAGGGGCGCAAACACCCAAAAGGATGATCTTTCTCCACATGAAACACTTTGATTACCCATGCAGCCCCCCTCCATGGTGTGACACGGGCACAAAGACCATTGGTTGGAAACCACCAAAAGGATGATCTTTCCATGGGCAAAGTCTCCCATGGGTCAAAAAAAGGGGCCGAAGGGACCCGAACGAAGACCCCCGGGCTGACCCTTCGGGGCTGAGGGCTCCGCTTCCTCGACTCGCAGGCGCGAGACGAGCTCTTGCAGAGCTCCAGCAGCCTCAGCTGCCGCGTCGGGGAACGCGTCTCTTAGCTCGGGGAACAAACCACAAAAAAAACGGGGGACTTCTGGTTTTTCCTTTTGGCTTCCCTTTCCCCCGGAAGACGCCGCTGGAGTTTTTTCCCTTTGAAGGCTTCCAATTGAAAACCCCCGGAAAAAAAAAAGGTGTTTGTTCCTCTCATTAAGATAGGTGTCTTCATTTCTACCAGGTCCTTACAGAACCCCCAGTAGCTCCGAGTCCGGCTCTAGCTGGTGACCCCTGCAAATTCAATGGAAACCCCCAAATGAGTGTTCAAAAGACCCCCCCACTTTGGGGCGACTCGATCACAAGTGGTCTAAAACTGCACAAGCCACCATCTATTGCTCAAATCTCATTTGAGCTTCCATTTAAAGGAACTGCACCGAACCGGGGGTGGCCGGTTGAACGCATGTTGCACAGAAAAGCCAAAACACAGGAAGCCATTGCCGCGAAAAACTAGACGCATCTCAAGAGGAGCCTCATGCGGATGGACCAAAATCCACGCCAGGCGGCCGGGAGTCGCCATTTTTATACCACTGGCGGGTCAAGAGTCGGGCAACCCCAAAATCGAACCCTGGCAAATGGAAACATGGACCAAAACCTGCGGTCCAATTCCTAGTGGTTGAATTTTGACCCGTACCCAAGTATTCAAACGGGTTTCACCCATCCCGACTCGCGGAAAATGGGAAGTTGTCCGCCCACAGCACCGCCTTCTGTAAACCTTGAAGCGTGAGATCATTTTAGAGATCTCAGTGAGGTGCAAAGAGCGAGCCAGGCGTTTCTGAGGGTCGGCCCCTATGAATTCACCACTTAAACTGGTCTGGTCAATGTGGAGCGGCCAATCCCAATGTCCACCTCGATTGGAGAATTATTACGAAGAAAACAAAATTGGGTTTTTGGATCTTGCGCATTGCCTTCGAACAGCCCGGCAGGACTTTCTACAAATCGAGATCCGTACCATGAAGGGGTATCGGGGTCCATCGGGGGAATACGCTATGGCATCATTAAACCTTTAGGCCTCTTATACAATAGATACCCCACATAGACCCCAGGGCTCCGGCAACCATCTTCAGCCTACGCTAAACTACAACCTAATTTTGGCGGAAGCAGCTGCGCCGTTGACAGGGCAGCCAAGTGCGAAGGAACAGCTGCCTGGCCGAAAAAAGAAGAAAAAAAACCCTTTGAGCAGCGCCGACCCGCCTTGCAAGGTACTTAGGCAGATGGATCTGCCCTTGCTACTGCCCCCCCCCGAGCCAGGGGCCGAATTGAACCCCCGCGAAATTGACCCAAGGATTTGGTGTTGGTGAGTTGGGGGAGGGAAGGCTCGGCCCCCAAAATGGAGGCTTGACAACACCTCCTTCTCCTTGAGCAAACATCTCTGCCTCGAATTCTCGATTTGATGAGTCATACGGGTGCAACGTTGGAAGCCAAGACCTTGTCCTCAACATACCCTCCGTCCAACAATCCTTCAAGCTACTGCGGTAGTCTTTATGAGACCGTGAGGGCCAAGCCCAGGCCCATCAATGCGGTCAAACCTGAAAAGACTTGCAAGCTACTCTGCGGAAGCCCTTTTTTTTGGGCGCGTCAAGAAATGAAGGAACATGCCGGCTCCAGCCTTCACCAGCTTTCACAAGGGTTGTATCATGTCTTGTTGCTAACTCCGCACCGTGTGACTACCTCCACGGTCTCGAAGCCTTGCTGAGACGAAACTGCGACATGGGTATGTGTCGGGGTACCCGTTTCCCTTTTTGGTTTTCCCTCTAAACGTGTGGCCCAAACCTAGCTTCCCCCCTAGTTGGTGGCTTGGCAGTTCAGAGGTGGTTTCCTTTTTCCCCTCTACAAGAGGTGAAAATCCAAATCCAAACCACCAATCCAAACCCACCAATTGTTCGGGTTATCTGACAAAGGGTATGCTCGGGGAAAGCACAAAAAAGGGGGAAAACGCTCGGCCACATCTCTCTCCCATCTGCCTGCGACCTCTGGCTCACCGGCCTTCGCGGGTCGAGCTTTAAGGGCGAACAGCTTGGATCCAAACCCGAGGGAAGATTAGAGAAAGAACATGCTGACTGGACCTGTTGTCAAAGCTACATTGCTCCGCGCATACATGTATATCTACATATATATATATACCATTTATTTATATATATATATAGACATAACTATTTCTGTAAATTCGCTGACCCTCTGCCTCCCGTCCGAGCCTCCTGCAGAGGGGACCGGCGTGGGATGCAACTGGAGTGAAGTGATTGGAATCCATGGTGATTTTTTGTCACTGGAGAACATGCCCGAAAGCACGAAGAGTGAATTCCCGGGACCGGTCCCGGGACTGTTCCGGGCACAAGTCCTGAGCCAGACTGCCTGCTGGGACCGGTCCTGGGAATAGCATGTTCCAGGGCTAGTCCTTGGGAAGGTGTTCGGGATGGGGTTTTTTGGAGGATTCCGGAGCTAGGCTAGTTAGCTGTTGCTTGCAATATTTTCCCCACAGCTCCCCCTTGATGGCAACCTTCCCCTCTTCCCATCAGTCATCCAGCTGCAACGCATCCATTC